GAACATTCAATCCAATTTCAATATCATATGGAAATTGGAAACTGATTGAAGAATGTGTTCCTAGCCATATGTGAAATTCAAAATGAGTTCGGCCTCCCGGGAAACAATATAGATTTGTGGATACGGTCCCTGTAGAGTAACCGGTACGGCGGTAGAGTGGAGTTCCACCGGTGATATGGAGAGGAATATATTTCACAAATCACCCGCGAAAATATATATATGTCTGAAAATTTACGTCTCGGGTGTTACACCGAAAGGTGAGACTCCATAAATTTTCAAATTAACGGTATAGAAATCGCTGTAAGGAATTAGCAATTTCTTTAAATTTTCTTTTTTTTTAAAAATTGTCCACAGGCAGTCCGTAAGAAGGAGAGGCAAGGTGGTGAAGTTGATCGACAACTGCGAGATCAGAAGGCTAATCTGAGTAGTGTAAGGGGGAGGCTGGTGTTCATGAGCTCGGTGGTTTGGAAAGAATTGAATACGCTGATTCCCGGTCGCGGAGTTATGGTTGAGGCCCATCGGTCGTCACTGAGATTCGTATTGATATGTAAATTATTACTATATAGAGTATCTCGTCGAGTATCGAGATGAAAAGAATAATATTCTCATGCCGCATGTAGCAGCTAGTGAGGGGAAAACAGTTATGGCGAACCTCGAGCGGTGTGGCTCTCGGAAGGATACTGTTAAGACTCGCATTATGGAAACTATGAGGATTTTTTGAGAAATTATTGTTGGTTTCTTCACATTCCTATCCGGATCCGCGTGTGAACTTGTATAATTAGCAATGGAAATTTCAAGGTGAGATGAGAAGATATATTTCAATACGTGTAGTAGCCACAGTCACTGTTAACTCCCTGGGGCCGGGCCTGGAGGGCAGATCGAGTGGTGGAAACCACCTGTCATATAAGGAGGGGGCTCAGGTGCCCTTATAGATATTCGAGTAGTTGTGTGATGGTGACTGGGATGGTGAGCAGAGCGATTAAGGAGAAGTGTGGTATGTGTCAGATGCGGTAACGAAAGCGTTGGAGGCGTTTAAAGAGACTATTACAGAGTCTAGGGTGACAGGGTCTCGGGAGAGGGATGAATTTAAGGCCGATATTGTCGATCTACGGCTAAGTCTTGGTAGTAGGCTTTGTATGTGGCACCTAGAGGAAAGGATGTGCAGGTGTGGTAGAGAAGAGATGTGAGAGGAAAATTGAGGAGAAGATGGAAGGGTTAGAGAGAAGGGTAGGAGTGGTGGAGGCCTCACGGAAACGTATTGAGGAGGGTCTACGGGATGAGAGGGTAGGTTCGTGGCTGAGGTAGCGGCGGGGGGACTTCGTGTATAGGTCTTTGTGGAGAATATGTGTCGTGAGACGTCGGAGGAGGTCAGTCGGGTGGCGGGGAAATGTGAGGAGATGATGAAGAAGGAGCGGGAGGAGATAGTGGGTGAAGTGCATAGGGGCATTGGGGAGATGGAGAGGAGGCTGGGGGTGGCGGTGAGAGGGGGTGAGGAGGCGGTGGAGAGGGTGGAGGAACGACTTGGGAAGGTGGAGAAGGAAGTGAAAAGCAGCAGGAGAAGGAATTCTGGTAGTCGTGTGTGTGAGTGTGGAATCCAACGCGAACAGCGTGGCGTTGTCGGACTCGTATCGATGCGTATTAGCTCACGAGGAATCAGTTTTCGTCTTTTCTGGTTCATCACGATACCAAGGAGCGGTAGTGGTGGTTCGGAGTGTCACCGAGAGTGTCGGGTTGTTGATTTTGATTTTATTCGCTGTAAAATGGAGTGTTGGAATGTATGTATGGTTTCCTCAGCTGAGTTCAGGAGTTTTATCGTTAGTTATAGGAGTTTATATACGAATTGGAGTGAAAATATTCAGAAACCAAGAAGGATTTCCCAAAATTTTCATATTGGCACCGACACATGTAGTTGGCGATGTGCATATTTCCCCTCCCCCCCCTGTGAAACCGATACCGTTTCGGGTGCCCATGATCGTCGTGAACTCTTTCCTGGCCTACTTGCTGCACTAATCGCTGTTGCTGTATGGCCAGTGGATCGGCAGATTGGCAAAATATCGCTGTTTGATCGTTAGGTGGGAATAGAGTGGTGACCATCACCGCCTCCCCTTCGCGTCTGGATGAGCCCTCTAGTAGTGAGGACAGCTACGATGAGATGCAAAGGGATATTAAATATGAACACATATGTACGTTCTGGGTGGTTCGGTAGTGGTAGTAGTAGTGTTGGTTTGGTTGGTAGGCTCACGGCTGAAGAAGCTGGAATCAGTTTTACAGAGAGTATATGAAGTAGAGGAGAAGCTCAGGCAGGGGCAGGTGAGGAGGGGTGTTTGAGTAGTGGGCAAATGTGTGGTATATTTGTTAATAATAATATTCATAAATGTCATATAACTAGGCCTTCGTGATGAAGGGGCGGAGCTCACTTAGTCCACGTCTGTTGATTCGATCAATGAATTTGACGTAGGTCCCCGGTTCGATCCCCGGGTTGGGCATTTTTCCGTCATTTAAGGTTTTCATGCATATCTCGTCGAGCTGTTCGCATAATCGAGTTTTTCGATTTTTGCGGGAACCTCGGCATATAGAGGAGCCATTTGATCCATCTGGCGGCCTTCTGCGCTTCGTAGTTAAACCAGAATAATTCTGCACGCACGCACAACGCGAAAGTGGCTGTTGTTGCGGTATATGCTCTGCTCGCTCCGAAATTAATCTTATAATATTATAATGAATATTCATAAATGAACAATGTGTTTAGCGTCAAGAAGTCGCGATGGAGAGTGCAGGAGTGACGAGGGAGGAGGTTGAGGAGCTCAGGAGAAGTGTTTGGAAAGAAGTCAATTTGGTGAGGGAACAACTTGGCGAGGTGGCGGCAGAGGTCCGCGGTGAGTCCAGGAAGGAGGGATGGGCTGATGCTACTGGGCGAGCGAGAATTGAAGAGAGAGTGGAGGAGATATCTAAGGCGCTACAGGTGATGGAATTTAGGGTGGAGGAGTTGGGGAGGGGGAGTGATGGTAGGGAATTCGGTGGGCTGAGGGAATGTGTTGAGGAGTGGGTTAATAGGAGTGAGAAGTTAGAAGCAGAGGTGGAGAGTTTGGCAGGGCGGCAAGTTGAGATGGGGGAAGAAGTGAAGGGGATGGTGAGGAGAATGGATGGTATAGAAGAGGGCGAGTCGAGGATGGGAATCGTGGTTGAGAGGGTTGAAGGGGAAATGGCGGTATTGGCTCGGGCGGTGGCTGAAGTCTCAGATTTGCGGACGTCCGTGGATGAGATTTCAGATTTTTTGAGCAAGTTCCCGAGAGACGGTTTTAAGGAGGATGCGCAGCGAAGCATAGAGGGGCTGAGGAGTGGCCTGGCTGAGGTGAGGGTGGAGATGGAGGAGGTGAGGGAGGTGAGGCACGCGATGGGGAGGATGGGGGAGGTGGAGAGTAGATTGGGACATGTGGAGGCTAATATGGAGTGGGTGGAGGGGGAGTTTAATGCGTATAAGAAGGTGATGGAGGGGATGGAGGGGGA